GGGGGGGGGGGGGGGGGGGGGGGGGGGGGGGGGGGGGGGGGGGGGGGGGGGGGGGGGGTACTCAGTTCACGTGCACTCCTTTGGGACGATCGCCTCCTCTATGTCTGAATCGGGGAGACTGAGGGGAGGCGTGCTTCGAGGAGGAAGGTGAGGAGCGTGGGTACTCATAGCCGTGCATGCCGTAGTCTTTCGACCATTGACTTCACATCCCTACAAAGCCGGGACGGAGCACGCCGGATTCCCACCTGACCGAGTTAGGGGGGTTCTACGCCGAATGGTGCAAGAAGGGGGCATGGGAAATGCACTTCCACATGGCAACCGTCACGTCAAACCGCAAAACCGTCCCTATAAAAATGTACTTCGTACTTTCGCGCATCACTCGAAAATAAATATTCATACATGTGCGCAGCACACATGATTTAGTACGTGCGGGTAGCAAGGGGACGCACACCATGCAGGAGAGAGGAACAAAGAGCATTGAAGGGGGTACACACAACACAGATAAGCAACACAAACTCGCGGTCGCGGTTGATGATCCTTTGCACCCCTACTCCCGGCAACAAACGTCTGCCGCCGCCCCTCCCGTAGCATTTCTACGGAAGGGCCGGCCGGGAGGGAACACGACCTTCAGGTGTGCCTGCGTGCCAGCATAAGCAGAGCTTCCTCAGGCCGTACACAGCAGTGACACAATCAGCTCTCTCGCACGGTACATGTGCCAAGCGATGAGGCCTAGTCCGCTCCACACAGGAGACGTACGGCGATATCACACATGAAGTACTTCCCAGAAATAGCGGTTCTCATCCCACGCCCACTGGCAAGGCATTGGCGCTGCGCTTCCCTCACGCTGCACTCCCACGCCCATCACAAATCATTCCACCGGAGGAAACGTCTACTTCGATCCATAGGGGCAAAACAAAACCCCTCAGCCCTCGCCAGCAGTAGCCGAGGTGCGCCTTACGACAGCCTCCAGCGTTCACGTGCGCCTTCCGTACCATTCCACGACTGTTGTAAACATCCAACGAGAACAGAGCAAGACTGCCAAGACAATAACAACAACAGCGGTGGCAGCCGGTAATCATCACTCACAGTCATCTTCATCCTCGTTCTTGAACTTGTCCTTGAGTCCCTGGAACTCCTTCAGCACGGAGGTAACCGTTATCGGCTTGTCGCCGCCCATGGGGTCGTTGAACCCACCCCCGGGGCCCCCCGGCACTCCTGGCATGTCGTTCATCACGTCCTTGGTACGGCTGACGCGAAATATTGAAGAACGAGAGAGAGATAGAGCGGGAAGGAGATAGAGAGACAGACAGAGGGGGGGAGACACAGAGCCGCAGCGAGACAGACAGACAGAGACAGGGGGGGAGAGACAGAGAAAGTCAGAGATACAGAAAGACAGATCGACAGACAGACAGACAGACAGACAGACAGACACCACAGGCAGACAGACAGCGACAGAGCCAAAGCCGGCACCATCAGACACATAAACGACATCTACGGTAGCACAACTATTGGTCCATCCTCGCAGAGGGCACGCTGCTGCGAAAAGGCGGTTGGGGGAATCAACCAGAGAGTCGAATAAACGTGATGAGGCACGCATGTCCTTTGCCGCCTCGTGGCATACCGTCCCGTGTGAATCGCCTTGACAACGGGACACACGGCGGTACAGCAGTGATGGGTGCCATAAGAAACTTCCGGTCATATCCCGGAGACAAAGCAGCTTGAGGTATCGCTCGCGACTTAAGGCCGCCCCCACCCCCCCCTCACAATTCCGCCTGGGTAGATTTTGTCTACAATCCACTCTGCAAAAAGGAAGGGAGGGGCACAAATCTGTTCGAGCGGTTCGCATGGCTTTGCCAAGAGCTTGCTTTACACGGAACGCTGGCAGATTATGCCTACCTCCCACCATACATAGAGAGTCGAGGAGTGGGGACAATTTTCCCAGAGTGGGCGTGGGGTTTCCATGGGACAGGGTATACCGCATATGCTGAGACTTTTACGCTTCTTCGACCAAGAGACGCCCTTCCTCTGCTATGATGTGTCTCAGCAGAGGGTGGGGGGGAACACTCAATCATAGACTCGGTCTCACGATATCAACGAAGGGAAAATCGCAGGCGGCGAGCGCTACCACACCGTGGCAAACGGGTGTGTGCCGCGAGCACGGTCCAACTCAGAGCCTGCTGAGGTAGGTCGAAGGCAAAAGCTAACAGCAACATCTCTCGTGTACCACGAGAGCACCCTTGACGCACAGACATGACCCGAGCAGGCAGGGCCACCGACAACGAAACCACCCCCGACATCCCGGACGGAGCACACAACCGAACAAATGTCCTGGAACACTTTCTCTCTGAGGCTTGTTGGAAAGGAGTACATGGAAACTACACATCATCTCACGAGCAAGACTTCTGTACGTTTTCCCGCTCCTGATGATTTTCAGATAGGGGATGCGTTGAAAAGGGGTTTACAGCAAGTGAGAGGGTGTGAGGGAAATCTGCTTAGTGGGTGAAGATGCAGACTTATTTCCGAGTAAGCCCATGCGGCCAAAACACCGACCGCAGGAGGGCGAGGTTTCCATGCTACGTTTCCATAGAATTTAGATCGCTCCGACACTGCTGTGCTCTCATGTCCTAAGCCCACTCCAGAGGGATCCTATGTGCAACTTCGAGCACATATGAAAATACTCACGGCGATACTGGATATTTCGTCCCTGCAGGGGGCAGTGGCTTGTGACCACGGAAGGCGTCCGCGTCAGCTAGACCAGTACGGACATAATAAGGTACTGAGCGGAGACCGGAACGGTTATGAATGTGAAGACAACAGAAACAACAACAACAACAACAACAACAACAACAACAACAACAACAACAACAAACAACAATTCTGGGTGCACGGTGATGTTCAGCAGGACCCAGCGGCAGCCCCACCCTCGTCGAAAGGGCCGCCTTCGGGAGAAATTAGGTTTACGCATTGTCATATGAAGAAGTACACCAGCGAGGGTGTGCGCAGACCCTTGTCCCTAACCCTCACCCAACTCTGCAAGCTTTTATCAACCCAACGTTTCATGCTATATCCAACATGTTCAGCTAAACGACAAACCCAGCGGCAGCCCCACCTCGTCGCAACCCGTTGGGGTGCTAACAGCCGTATGTACGTGAGAGAGGCAGTCCCTACCTCGGCCCCTTGCTGTGAGGGGACCGCGTCACGCGCTTCATGTATCATCTCTCTGAATCTAATTGGTTAAGCTGAAGCTCACGCGAGCATGTGCCGACAAGTTTGTGGAACGCATGTGTGTGGGCGTGGCCCGAGGAATGTGATGAACACAAGGGGTGGATGGTTGCTGATATCCACCTTGCTTGCCGGTTTTCTTCGGTCGAGAGCAAAGTACACGAGGGGACGATGAAACAGAAGTAGAACGTTGCTCATGAGCATCAATCAATATTGATTTCACATGCTCTAGACACATGTTCCCCACGGCTCGGACAACGCACGTGAGCCACTATAGACGGCGGTTAAAGGGTGTGATCTCACGACGGGTGCATATGGTGTGCCCACCAAGCTTATGCCCACAGGCATTGATGTGTGCACGGGTGGGGTGCTAAAAGGCGGGGAAACCACGAGTTGAGCTAATGCAAGACGCTTCTTTCCGCCTGTGTACCCGCCCTCACAGGGTTCGCTCAGGTCTTGTCATGCCAACCGCTACGGCGAACACGAGAAGTTTGCGTCGGTGGTCTGTATACCAGAAACAATCTGCCGCTGCCGAGTTGTGCTAGCGCTAGGTGCCAACTGCGGAACAAACGCAATCAGCACAGCAAACTTTTCCTCAGAGTACAAGCAGTACTGCGGTCGCACCAAGAAACTGAGAACATACCAGTGACCTTCGTTAGCCGCGGCCGTGCACGCGTAATCAGCAACACCTCCGCACGGCAAAGCCAAGCGAGCCACCCCCGTCCGAATCACCTCAGACTATCCTACAGAGCACCTCACCTAGTCTTCAAAGGGAGTGAAGAGACCTTTTCCTCCCCGCACTTCGCCTCTGTGTCGTGAGAGAGCGGCAGGTTAGTGTTCCAAGGCGTATCCCATCCAAGTCGACAATTCTGCCTCCTACAACCTCTCCTCTCCTGTTTTTTGCGCCCTGCTGCGCCTTCCCCCTTCCTTGAACTGCGTCCTTCTTCCCCCCTCAAATACTCTCTTCTGCTTCGCTGTGTGCACACGTTTGTTCCGTGGCTGCCTTGCAACAGGTCAGGGGGCACCGTGATGCGCTAATCACTGCCCCACCTCCAAATTCAACAGTTCGCGAAACATGTCTGTGGATGTGCCTCTCTTCTGCCCGGCTGTCGGTGTATTGTATTGGTGACACACGGCCACGGACGGAGAGGAAGCCCAAGACAGGGAGGACTGAGTCCCTAACCGCCATTCTAGGTATGTTGTTGGCCAGGATAAGCTGCTCGGGTGCTGCCTACGCTAACGAAAATTGCACCTGGAAAGTGTCAAAAGAACGGGCGAAAGCGTTGTGTTGCAGCAAACAGAATGACCTCCAGAATCAAGTATCGCGCAGAGAGAGGTTCACTGCTGCACGAAAGAGTGCTGGTGCCTCACAGACCCTCTCTTGCATTGTCCAACTAGTCCTCTTGCAACTGATCTGTCAGCGTGGGTAGTTGTCGTGGTTCCAAGTCCCGCAGGGCCAACAAAAAACGTGGTATTTTGTTTCTTCGACAGGGGACAGAACATTGCCTTTATGCTCCACTGCCCACACCGGTACCGGGCCGTAGAGCTAACGGTAGCGGTAACGACGGTGCCGTAAGAGGGAGGGGTTCAGAACAACACTGATGCTGCTGCGAAAGATGCGCACATCTCCTTTTGTGCCTTGTCTTTGTTTGTGGTGAGCTGCCGGGACTGACTGGTTTTCACAGGAGCAGGGCCCTTGTATCCAACCCGCTGTATGCTGATCACGTTACGGAGCGTATAGACCAGTTGTCCTCGAGAGCAGGCCAAGCCACCGTTGCACACCTGGTGTACTACTGTTGTTGCTGTGTACACAAGGGAACGTGCCCCAAGATCAGTCTTTCAAATAATGTCAAATAAATCCAAGTTGCAAATAGATTCGGCTGTATCATCAGGCAAGCGTGGAGGGACGTACCCAGTTCATGAAACTCACCGCGGGAAATTCCTGTTGGTAGACATCATTGGCTGCCGGGCTGCAGATACCTACCGTTTTTTTTCCTATCCTCGGGGATAGCAGCGTTTTGCGCCCTTGGCTGTTTGTCCAAGACCAACAATCATTTTTACCTGATTCTAAGCTTTGTTCCTCTTCTAGAGGCGAGTAACCGTCCCTTGCCATCGCGTTGCGCCTCGCGCCGTTGTCGCACGCTCTTGTTACGCTACGGAGGAAACAGGTGTACCGCGCGCGCGCTGATTCACACCACCGACCGCAACATTCTCGACCGAAAATCTCACACTAGAACGACTACATCACCGCCCTGCCGGCCTTCATTCGACGCGGCAACCAGGGAAAAGGCTCCTCTACACCTCCTCCAGACCCTCCGAACCCGGTAAAACAACCGTCAACGGCGACCACAAGCGTTTCGATCAACTCACACACCCCGAACACCCCCTACGCGGCGTGTATAAATCAACCGACCTCTCCTCATCTCCTCCTCCTCCTCATCCTCCTCCTCCTCCTCCTCCTCCTCCTCCTCCTCCTCCTCCTCCGACGTAAGGCTTGCATAATCATGTCGGAGACGACGTCGGGGAAGTGGTTCAACTTGGGAGGTGGCGGAGCGGACTCCCAGCCGGCGTCGTCGCAGTCTAGCCGCTTCCCGTCCATACCCAACGTCAACATCCCGGGATTCCGGAGGGAGCAGGTGTGTATGTACATCAAGAGTCGGTGTGACGACTGACCAAGCCGCGGAAGTGGGCCTCGCGCCCAAAGGGACGGGTGGGTCCAGTGGTAGTTTAGGCCGTTTCAGAACCGCGCCCAAGTGGCAAGTTACCGGCCTATCAGAAGAGAGCCAGGTAACAAGGTTACCGACGTTGTTCTGCTGCTGGCGGGAAGAGGAAGGAGAGCGTCTCGCCGACCCTTTCGCCAAGGTGTCAAAAATGTTCCGGGATCTGGTACAATTAGAGGTGGGCCTTCGATACAGCCGCGGTGCGAACATGCAAAATGAATCTCGTGTAGGAATACGGCTACAAGCCGTGCTCGTTCGAGCTGATGGCGCGCACGTACATCGGGGCAGCAATGAAATGACGTACGCCAGCGAGGGACCTACATCGTCTAGCTTGTAGAAGTGGAGGATGGGGGCCAGAGGGGCAGACGACAAGTCCAACGATGGGAGGAAAAAAGAAAAAGAAACGGCTGTTTTTGCTCCGTCTGAGAGTGTCTAGAAAAATTCTTCAGAAAAAAACCACCGGCTGGAACCACAACAGGCATGCGTGCACTACGTTTATTTGGCTATGCAGGAGAAAGAGAAGAAGTAAATCTGATTATCTATCCCGCATGCCGTTACAACCGCTGACGACGACGACGGTGGGGACGGCGGCGGCGGCGACAGGAACCGACGCTAGCGAACGAGATGTGCGAGATGTGCCCGTCCCTGACCTTCCAGCAGCGGGTGGGGGGCTTCGTGGTCTGCCTCGCGCTGGGGTACCTGCTGTCCTTCCTCAGCACGGCCATGCTCTGGTCCGGAGACCTGTCCTCGTTCGCGCTCATCTACTGCCTCGGCTCTCTCATCGCCATCGGCGCTACCTCGTAAGCGATTTCTTTACTCTTACTTCCGCGTCGTCTGACGGGGGTTTATCGTTGGCGGTGCATTTCGTGCTGCTTTAGGTACCGCAGGAGGGGAGGGTAGAGAGGAGCCCTTCTGTGTGACCACGGGTTGGAGTAAACGGCACTGGTGCTTTGAGCACTGATTTGAAGTGAAGACAAATATATATATATATATGTATATACTGTTCCGTAGGTGACCCTAGATACCACACCCCCGATGTCCAAAGCTTGATTACTCCACAACGAAGAGAACCCCGTCATCGGATGACGTATTTTCGGAAAGCGCTCAACAAGACGTTCCAACGCCGACATTTTCGGCACCGGCACTCTTTCTACGGTGGAGTATTCGAGCTTCGAAAATCGGTCCACGGGGTGAGGTGTCTTTGTGGCAGCTACCTGGTTGGCCTTGCACGATTTCTATTTTTTGGCCATGTCGGGAGAATTGGGGGCCGTTTGGGCGGTCTACGACTGTTTTCTGGGGGGTCCCCTGTCGAGGGTAGGATTTGGCGGAGCAGCCTGATTTGTATAGGGGATATTATGGTGGAGTCTCCGGATATTTTTTGCCTCCATCTGCACCAAACCACATCGTGTAGCGTGTCTCTAAGCAGAAACTGCTCCTCAACTCATTTCATTAGCGTTCCGTCGTGAATGGGTGTTGCATTGAATCATGTTGCATTGAATTGCTGCAAAGTCTTAATTGTTGGATGGGCAATGCTGTCGTGAGCAACTCAGGAGATCTGGTATCCCCGGCATCAATGTGGTTCTCGGGCTCTCTCGCGCTCTCGTTATCCTGGCCTACACGAGCATCGTCTTTCTTGGCCTGTGCCCTCCGCGTGAGGTCCCTTGTGGTCCTCAACGTTAGAAAATACTTCTAACTCGTGTAGACCAATCAATGTACGTGCACGGATTACGGTGTCAAACCCGGAAGGATAGGTAGGTAGATGGGGGGTGGCAAATGAAATACATTCTGAAACGGGGAGTCTCCGATCGACCCGCGATGGATGACGAGAATACACCCCGTTCTGAACACACTCTTGCTGAATCCTATCGCCTCGTAAGGAAAGCAACCCTAGGACACGATTGCGGTTTGAGAGTGTCCACGCTGCGCTAACGGCTGTTACTGCTGCTGCTGCTGCCGTCGAATACGTGGCGTAACGCCACACCGTCCGTCCCAGGTTCCTGATCGGCCCTCGTCGGCAGTGCGGCAAGATGTTCCACAAGAAGAGACGGATCGCGTGCGTCATTTACCTCGTCTTGCTCTTCGCGGTCATCATCTTGGCCTTTCTCGTAAGTAAAAAAACAACAGTAATAATGAAAGCGGACGAGGTAAGTCCGCCGCCGCGCGCCCCCATAGCAACCCCGGCGCACTGACACGCGTGCTTGATAGTCTCAAACTCAAAAAATTGGCGAAACAAGGAGTAACCCCCCCCCCCCGCCCGCATACATGTCGTGTTTTCTTGAAAGGGTCTGTTTGTGTTGTTTTGCTGCGCGAGTGTGAGCGTTTCGCCTGCTGCCTCCTCCAACATGCCAGTTTTTGACCGGCCTGTCGTTGTCGATGATTTGTCGCGTAAGAACTGCCCCCGCTAGCAGCAACCCAGCGGCAACCTTCGCACGGCCTTACGTTTTAAGTAAACATGTTGCACGAAGCATGCAATTGGGGAAACTGGGTTTAGGGGTAGGGCTAGACGCTGCGCAGCCCCTCCCTGTTCTATTTCCTCGTAAACATATTTCTCGAAACGGCGATCCCGACAATCCTGCCTGGCCTGAGATCGTAGCGGTGCCTTGTCACCCCCCCTTCCGACGGCCCGCCCACCTCTACCCAGATGTTGCCTTAGCGAGTAGACTATATCAAGCTTGTTTTTGGTTGGGGGGTACAGGTTGGGGTTGGGGGGGTAGAGATAGGATACGAAACCCCCTCTCTATCTCGTAGATTGACAATGAAATCCTCGCGATGGCGGCCCCTTGTCTGCCTTTCTCTCTCATCTGTTAACGCTCCTCCCCCCCCGCGTCTCCTTCCCCTCCGCGTTCCGATCGCTCTTCTTGCCGCAACCTTCTGAAGGGCACCCCGGCAGGCATCATCCTGCTCATTCTCATCGTGCAGATGTGCGCCGCCGTGTGGTATACGGCCTCGTACATCCCGTACGGCCGGGCGATGATCAAGGGCACCTTGTGTCCGTGCCTCAAGGACCTTGAAAACCAAGATGGGTAGTAGTACATACTGTACAGTAATCCATTTAGCGACGAGGTGACGGAACCGTCAGTAGAGCTGTACAGCTTGTCTTTGTTTCCTTTCTTCTTTTGCTCTTTTGCTTGATGTTTTGCTCTTGTGAGAGTGTTTTGTCGGTGTGTGGGGGTGGGGTACGGTTCGGTAGGCTCTTCATTTTCTTTGTTTTTCGCTTGCCTTCGGTGCTAGCTAGGGTTGTTGTCGCCGAGGTCACGGGACGATGGTACACAGCTCGATTGAGAGCAACGAATGTTCTTTGTAGGGAGCGTAAGGCGCACAGAAGGCAGGCAGCAAACAGGCGGGCGCGCTGAACAAGAAGCGTGCTTCACACTGGCCCTCAGCTATCCAGCTAGCCGCGAGAACACGGGTGCGAATGTTTGAATTGAATCACACTTTCACGAGACAAACCTTGGTCGAGCTTTTGGCTGGACTGACGTGCACGGAGGCCGTAAACGTACGCTCTTCTTCACCTGTTTCACGAAGGACGAAAAGTTGTGCACCTTCACGACTTATTGGCAGTCCTTTTGGTCATGTGTCGAGGACCAAAAAAGTGGAACTTCGCTGAATGCGTGTCAGGAAAAAATAAACACGGCGGGGTGAAAGTGGGCGTCGATTGATGAGCGAGGCCTATTTCGCTGACTCTCTACCCCGCTCGCTCTTTTACGAGTCGCTTTTTTACCAGGGACCATACATACGTCGTTTACCCTACACAAAACAGAGTTACGGGGTATGGGAAGGCCGGCCGTGGGTATTGGGAAGTCTTGTTGGCCTTCAAATACTAAAAAAGATATGAGCGTTTCCTCTTGCTTTTTGTCCTCTCTCTCTCCAAAACGAGAAGTGCTCTAGGGAGAAAATAATGTCCGCGTTTTCCATCGACAGGCTCGACAAACTGGCTGTTTTTGAGCCCACTCCCGAGCCCACTCAGGGACAAGAGGAAGGAAGGCTCGGTGCGCATGCGTTCCGGCCTCCTCTGGGTGGGTTCGGCAGGAAGGGCACACACAATGTCCCCGGGTTGGTTGGGTAGGAAGGACAAGCAATCCCCCCGTCATCTTACGTCCGGCGGTTTGGGAGTGTGTTCCGTTTCAAGAGCGTCATCATCGACGGCGGACCGGACCACGCCTCGACATCTAAAAACGTCTTCGTCGTATCATGCTCATCTTCATTGTGATAAATTCGTTTCTCCTTTTTACATTTTCCGTCTTCCTTCCCCTCTCGTCGTTGCGTAGCTTCCTAAACGACGCAAAGTCCCACCGACCGTGTTTTGTCAGCAACCAATACGGAAAAAGAGAAAAAATGCCTGCCAACCAAAAAAAGAAAAAAAAAATCTCGACACAATACACGGACCAACTGAACCTAGATAAAAAGGATGGGGGACTATAAGAATACCCGCTGTATACACACACCTAATGACTACCACTACGTTCGTCCCTCTCTCAAGAGGGGGGGACAGGACAAACAACACGAAAACAACACTATCCTAGACCCACGGTGGACGGGGGACACACCACCAGCACACGCGGCAAAAACAAAGAAATAAGGGACGTGGAATTCGACAATATCCAAGAAACCCCACACGCACACGGATGACACCATAAGACAGCCACAAGGGCTGAAGGCCAGGCAGCCAGGCAACCCCCCCCCCCAAGCACCCACGCAAGGGAAGTCATACCACAGACATTTACTATCAAAGGATACGAAACAACACGACAGGTCTAGGTGTTTGTGTCTCGTGCAAACAACGCTTTTTACACAACAGTGGGAAAGAAGTAGTCATCGCTCGTCACAGGATACGTTGTGGGAAGGTTGCGCAACGGTCAAGCCGCAAGGGGCCTGACCTGCCTCGACACCGATGTTAAACAGTACTGACCGACATCGATGTTGGTCAGCTAGCCATCCGGCCGTCAAGACTGTTACTACCACCAGGTACTACCACCACCGAACAGTAGTTGGTTTATCAAAATGATCAATCCGACCAGCCAGCCAACCCTGCATACCACCTTAGTGCTACCGTTGAACGTTGGCTACGGCTGTGCCGATAGATAACTAACTCTGCATAAACACCGTGAACGAAGCGGAACAAGATGATGCTGTCCTTGCTTCTCTCGCGAGAAACTCGTGGAAAAGCCGATCAACGTTCTCTCGGTTGACAATAAAAAAAAATGATGATCCAATGATGATCCGCCAGGCCATCCATCCATTCCATGTCGCCAAAAGACAAGGCCACGGATCTAATGCATGCCACCATGAACAAGGCGAAACCACATGATCCTTGATTATTTATGTACTCGAGGAGCTGCACTCATGGTAGTCGGCAACGAGCGTTCGCAGGAGCTGCCGCTGCGAGTCCGGCATCCCTGCGATCGTCGTGGCCGGGTTAAGAGCCACCATCATCTCCTCCTCGTCCATTTCCCATCGGTCGGTCAGCACCTGTTTCGGTTGGGCAGGAGTGGGGGGAAGCGGGAGCCAAATTGTCAGCGAAGACGGCGGCGGCGCCGAGGTTTTTTTTCTTTTCGGAACATGTTATGTTCCGATGCCATAACAACAACACAGACTGCTGTTTTTATGTTGCCTGCCTAACAATAACATACATACGAAGAGGACAGGTCAACAACCAATACATATCTCCCTAACTCCCTGACGTTTGACACACCGAAGAGTTACCGTAAGTCTTGAAAACGGGAAGACCTCGGCGAAAACTACACCGTACACCATACCATGATACATCATACCATGGTATTGTTGTTGTTGCTGAACCGTTCCGGTCTCCGCTCAGTACCTTCTAATGCCCATACTGGTCCACATCAAACTATCGAAACGCAAGCACTTATCTATTGCTTTTTCACCCACCTTTACGTGGTCGGAGAGGACGGCGCCAGCCCTGGAGAACTTGCTCTCGCTGGCGATGAACAAGTCCGAAGCCGCGATGCAATCCAAAGACTGCGACGACTCCGGGGCGGTGCGCTCGTTCAGCAGGACGACGTGCTGGTACATCGCGTAGTAAGAGCAAGAGGATACCACAAGGGGCCGGCCGGCCGTGGGGGGGAGGGGGGGTTCGTAAGCTCACGGTGTTTTGAGAAAGCATACACACAATCAAAGAGAGGCGACCCGTTTGAGTAAATACGTAAGTAAATAAGTATACTGTGGTACCACAGCAGTAGAGTCGGCGGACTTGGACCGAAGAAGTCGAAGACTTGGGGTTAGGGTTAGGGTTTTGTTAGGGTAAGTCTTCGATTGGAAGAGTTTTTTGTTTTACCAAGAATATGGAGCCCTCAACTCTGGGTGAGCGGAGAGTCCGGAGTGTGGTGACTATGACCTGCCACCGGAGGCTTGCTATTTCCTTTTGGTGCGATGTGGCGAACCCTTGGCAAGAACAAGATTTCTGTAAGGGAATCGAACCCTTTGGGGAAGAAAGGAGAACCTTGGCAAGAACACTGATCTCAAAATAAAGGAGTACCAAACCCTCCGGAAGAACTAGAGTTCTTGGAGAAGGAGGGAGATCTATGCATGTAGACTAAAGAAGAGTCACAAAACCCCTGGGAAGAACAGACATCGACCCTGGGGAAGAAAAGACATGTGTAACATCGAGAAGAAAAACGAAACCCTTTGGAACAACAGAGATCTATAATAGAGTAACGAGCCCTTGTACCACATCAACTAACTGGTTTGAGCAAACGACGACTGGACTACAGCAAAACAACACAGTAAAAGGGCTGGGCTACAAACGCGAAGTCGTACAACACAACACGCGCTACGTCATGCCGGTAATATAATTAGAATAAAAACATAACACAGGAAACAGCAAAAGCTCAAAAAAGAGCACTGGTATGCATTCAGTAGTCTACGCAGCACATAGATAAGAAGGCAACTAACACCACATACCTGGGTGCAGTGAAGGCCGAGATCATCGCAAGTCTCTCCGGCAACGTCCCAGTAGAGCGGCAGCCCCATCTCGTCGACCATGCCGCCCCACTGCCCCTCGCTGAAGATGGCCACGTCCACGTGGGCCCCCGGTTCGGCGACGGCGATGCTGTGCAGCGAAGCCTCCATCGCTCGGACGTAGTACTGGTGGGGCAGGCTCCTGTAGGGGTTCATTTGGGTTGCGTTGGTTGTTGTTTGGACGGACCAGGGAGGGGGGGGCAAGGGGAACAGCAGAAAGGTGAGATTAGTTTTCGAGAACAGGCAGTGTGCAACAAGAATTTTTCTCATTTCAACACTAGGAAGATGGGGGGTGTTCATCATGTCCAATGGGTGATGGACGTTGGCGGTGAATCCGAAGAAGCGAGGGCGGGAGTCATGGCCGGCTCCTGAGCCGTCGCAGTAAGCGAGAACGACAGTCCTTGTCCAGCAGCCATGCGCAGATACCTTTCTTTCAAGATAGATCCTGGAAACATCAAAAAGTATAGTCTACAGCTGAAAAAACAACTTTCTCGGGACGTTGTGCATGCAACGGATGACTACCCGAGCACTGCTATATAATCTATTCGCTCAACACAATTGTAGGGTCAACTGCTGCAATTCGGGCACCACAGACGCTTTATTTACCACGAGACCAAACATAGTACGTGGGTGTTCTATCGATGTAGGACCCGTGCCCAGCCATTGACGTCCTGCCGTACGCTTATGTAGGTTCAATCTACAACGCAATAAATCCGCGGATGTGCCACAACAAAATCTGAAACGATCGTTACGTGGTATGATACAGCACTCTACCGTGGTACCATTTTATCCTTTTGAACGGAGTTTACGTCCTGCGACGGAAAGAAGCTTACCTGTGCAGAGGTACAGCCCCTCGCAATCGCTTCGACAAGTCCACGGAAGACGGCGCCCGGTCCACGTGCACCGAGACCAGCCACGACTCGGAGTCACGGCCATCCTCGGCACCACCACCACCATGCTGCATCATGAACGAGTCCGGCAGCACTCCCGCGCACTGCTCTCGGTCGGGCGGCACGCCCAGCCCGCGTCTCCTCTCGATGCGCTCGGCGCACCGGTTCTGCTGCGCCTCCTCGCCGGCGGCAGCGACGGCTCGGACGCCGCCACCCGGGCTAGCAGCAGCTGTCGCAGCGCGGGTGCACAGGAGCACCGCGGAGGCGGTGGCCATCATGGCTACCAGGCGGATCGCGGTGGAGGACTTTTTTTGTTGTTTGGGGTGGCCCTTGCAAGAGGGTGACGGCGAAGAGGCTGCGAAGTCGGAGGGGAGGGTGCTCGGTGCTGGCCTTGCGGGTGCCACCGCCGCCCCCGCCGCCGCGGGGTCGTGGAAGAACCGGCCGTGGGAAGCTGACGGGCCGGGCGTGGCGCTCTTCGTGTTGCTGCTGCCGCCGCCGCCGCTGGCGCTGAAGATTTCCTCCTTGTTTGTCGCCGAGCGGCTTCGGCGGTGCTGGCCCTTGGTAACTCGGGGGGAAAGGCCATTAGGAGTCATCATGTTGCTGCTGGCTGCTGTCTCTGCTGGTCTCGTCCTCTTGTTTGTCTATCTCTCTCGCTTCACGATCGCAGAAGGGTAAGGTTGAGGCTAGGGGTCGGCGGGAGTGTAAACCTTGCTCGAGGTGGCTGGTTGAAGAAGAGTGAACGAAGGGGGGCGATGAGGCTGCGGACGATGATGATAAAAAAACTCGACCTAAGGAAGATTCTCGTTTTTGTTCTCGGGCCGAAAACCCAGGGTCCCAGGAATTCAAACCTGACGTTACACGTTTTGATTGGTCAGACCTTTTCGTGGCGAGTTGTCCATCTTCCATCTTCCCGTGTGTAACGGCTATATCTTTTAGACCGCCTTATCCTGTCAGCTCAAAGGCCGACGTGTCCTGGGATCCCCCTGCTGTGATGGACGATTTGTCCTGATGGAGAGAGGGGAGGAACGCGACAACAGTAATTTGCACCCCCACGGTGCGACTAAGGCGGTAAACCAGGGACACAGGAAGCGCGGTGGCACGTGCGCCTATGTCCGGATATTCTTTCTTCCGAGGGCGGATGGTACACATACAGATACACATACCACGGTAGTGGCCTGTGCCGCTGTGTGACGCTTGTGGGCAGCACTGCCTATCGGCCCCTCCCGCAGGAAGAGCGTCTTCAACGTTCTCTCCCGTGCCCTTTATCCATCATCTGCTTGGTGGATGTTACTTTTTCCTTCTCTGCACAGCACCAACGGCAAAAACCCCGTCCGCGTAGACTACAGCACAGCAGCACGCTTCTGTTTGCCATGGACAGGGACCCCATGAGGGGGCAGCATTGTTGTTGTTGTTGTTGTTGTCTTCACATGGGGGAGGCTAAACTATCCTTCGGATCAAAGACAGAAAAAGCAGCAGCAGAAGAAAAGTGGACGCGTCTACCAAGGCTGTTACATTGTACTCTAGTTAGGTACTTTCACAATTAGACTATCCTTTTTTTTTCGAAGGTCATCTGGCTCAAACCCTTTGCTCTCTTCCACGATGCTATTATATAATGGTAATAAATACACAGCACACAGCACGTACGTGCAAACCGTCAACTTCCCCAGCTGATCATTTTTTGGGGGTCGGTTGTACCTGCTGTAGACGTTGGTGCAGTAAAGAACGACGCCCCATGCACGAAGGATGCAACAAGTTGTCGGATGGGTCTTACGAAGCATGCACACGGTTAAACGGCATAGAAATAGCGGCAACAACGGTGGACCCTCAGCCATGCCGTCTTGTATGTACATCATCACTGGTACACGATGTGGTTCATGTGACTGGTGCAACATATCTTTCTTCGTCATGAGTTTTTCCGTATGTCCCGCGCTGCGGCATCGAAAAGCACACCTTTCTATTATCTTGCAGTGTTGAGGTCAAGCGAGATGGTAGTAGATGGACGAAGGATGATGATGAGCTGGCATGCACGATTCGGTGACGATGTCGTGTGGTACAGCAGTAGACTACTCTTTACTTCCGCCAGTCGTATTAGTGCGTCCATCCCGGGGACAGCGCTTGGCTGATGAGAACCCATTTCATTTCCATTCCACTGCGGGTTGCTGGGGATATATATTTTTTTTACAAAGAAAACCTTTAGCAAAAAAGTACGCATACATGGCCCAAAAGTTTACGGCGTACGTCCGACAGAGAGCCGTCTTGTTCGTGTCAACGCAACAGAAATGCAAATAAAACACAAAACTTTCGTCAAATACTATCGCCTGTGATGTGTGCACCGCATTCGAATTCTGGACACGTACGTACGTATGCATGATATGCAAACGCATAGACAGCCAACGCGACGGCAACCCCATGAACCCCCGCCCGACATGAGGAAAATATCTCCTACAGATCGTAGAATAAGGCCTTGTCATGAGACACACAGCAACAACAACAAAAAAGGATGGCCTCGGATGGTACATCCAGTTGCTCACCGCTAGGCTGGCACTTTTACATTTTCAACGTTCTTCAGCTGTTACTCTTAGGGAGAGACTAAAAGCTCAAGTGCCAGAACGACTTTACTTCCTAAGTTGTCGACAGAAATAGGTCCACGTTGTTCACGTTCACGATAAAAAAAAAGTGGAGGGCGCCCGTACATACCCTTATAAAAATAATGCAATCAACTCGCCCCCCTCACCCTACATGCAGGATGCAACGCACCCTTCATGCGACTCGTCGAATACCTCACGGCGCTCGCGCTTGGTGGTGTGAGAGCCTGGTCCGGTGAGAACCCGGCGTGCTCCGTCCCGGCTTTGTAGGGATGCGAGGTCAATGGTCTAACGACTGCGGCATGCACGACTATGAGTACCCCCCCCCCCCCTCACCCTACACGGAGGAACGCACGTCCAAAGGTCCTCGCTCCTGCAACGATGAGTAGGACTGCTTCCGACTGGGTCCACCAGGGGAGGAGAATAAGCTCTAAACGTCGAGTCTCGGGGCCGCGAGGTGACACGCCATCTCGGCCGTCTCCAGCGCTCAAGATTAGTCTACACACACAACAACACAGCATTTTCAGAGCATTTTCAGTGCCAAAGGGTACACACAATCTAGAGGCGAAAACCCCGGGGTCTTTAGCTGAGCGTCACCGCCCCCCGGCGGTCCCTTGCGCCGAGATTTTTCATTCTCGGGGCAACGCGTCCATCCATTCCCCAAACCTACTTCACCGCGCACCCAACCCTTCCGTACTGCAACAGATGACGTGTCGCCGCAACATTACCCCCATCGTAGGACCTACCTTTGTGTTAACAGCACCGCTGCTGGCAAACGAAAGGCTGGCAGGTTCAACAGCAGCCCCTAACTCTGCATCGGGCGGCGCTCCTGAGGATGCGCGTTAGTCTCGTCATCAAAAACTCTCGGCCTGCGGCAACAACAACAGCAACGAACGATGGCCGTCTAAAAAATACACCTGTACAACCGCAACCCTCGCGGTAGCCACCCCCCCTCTCCCCTTTTAATTTCTCGGTACATCGTCATTTGTGTGTCGTCTCCTTGCCGCTGCTTCTCCTAGAATTCTTGCCATACGTGCTTACAACCCCTCCACGTCGCCAACCGTCTTGCTCGCGTCATTTGATGATGTTTGGTCATTATTTCTCCTCCAAGCTTCGCAGCCTCGCCTCCACCTCGGCCATCTTTTTCGCGTTCTTGGCTGTTTTCCTGCAAAATATTAACGAGAAAAAAAACGACAACAAGTTACTATTGAAAAATACCTATGTACCAAAGCGATATAAGCGACGATCGCATCACATTCATTCGTGCTCCATCGCTGGTTCTACACCGGCAACCGCACTTCTGTAGCCCGGGATCGACAGCCGAGATACAAGGAATACTAGCCAGACAACGTAACTAACACAAGGAAATATCGTAGGAAAGTAGGAAAGGATACAGAACCTTGGAGTCCACAAGTTGAACATGAACAAGGGACCGAAGCTAGCAACATTTTGCACAACACGGGTCAGGTAAGAATCTTGACACTAAAAGCTGGTACCATGCATTGTCGATGTCGGGTAATGCTCATTCACAAACAAGATAGTAATCGAGCCTCGTTCAGAATGAGGGCTTCTTACAGTGCCGGGGGGAGAGAGGAGGGGGGAAAGACAACCCCAAGCCAAAAGACAGCAGTGCCGGCCGTGCTGACGAAGTGGGTGCACGTAATTGAAGGCACAAATAAAGGATGGTGGAGGCTTGAACCCGACACATACAGACCACGGTCGCCTTGTTTCATTTCGCTTCGAGTATTTCTCGATTCGTTCCTCGAGGAAACCGAAGCACATACAGAGGGGAGACGCGGATCAATATCTCATCTACCATCCGCAAGATAAACATACACGAGTGCGCTCAAACACACACACATCCACAACAAATACACTTACCGGTCGATGTCCTGCAGAATCTCCGCCTTCCTCGCCTCTTCTAGCGACAAAGAGGGAGTGGATTCTTCGGGAGAAGCTGCTGCTGCTGCTGCTGCTGCTGCTGCTGCTGCTGCAGCCAGCGGCTGTGATGATGGTGTCGCCGCCGAGGCTGACGATGATGACGATGACGCCACTGGTGTGGTTGGTTCGTCGGAGAGCACCGCGTCGAGAGCAGCGGCCGCTAACTTGTTCTTCTCGCTCGTCGCCCTGGTAGACCGCAAAAATTTAAGGTGGGGGGGGGGGGGGG